AAAAATCTTGGGAATTCCAGTCTTGCTGTACTCAGGGAAAGGATAGTAAGGACACTGTCCATTCAGGGTTGGCATTCATACCCAAGGCCACAAGCATCTAATAAGTCATTCTGGGATTAATGCCCAGATCTTTTCTAATATAATTCCCACAAAAAGGACTAAGACTCCTTAGAGAAATGGCTCGGCCAGGATAAGTCAAAGATGAACTTGGAACTTCTATTATTCAGCAATGCTAAAAAAAGACAGAAAACCAGACATAGTGGTGCATACCTGTAATCCCAGCAACTCATCAGACTGAGGTGGAGGACCACAGCCAGCCTCACCAGCTTAGCAAGGCTCTAAGCAACTTAGTGAGACCCCCATCTCAAAAAGGGTTGGGGATGATGGTAAAAAGGGCTGGCTCAATGGTAAAGCTCCCTTGGGTTCAATCCTCATACAAAAAAGAAAAAAAAAAAAAAAGAGGGATATAGAAGCCAACTTGAAAGGGTACCTATTTACTAAATTTCAAAAATTCTAGCACAAAAATAATTAAGGAGAATAATGAATTACAAACCATAGAAAAAATAGTAACTCATGCATCCCTGTCAGCAATAAATAGGCAACCAAATAACTAAATAAGAGATAAAGAAGGACTGGTATAGATAAGAATCATCAGTAGATGATAAACATAGAAGCATAATGAATGATCTAATGTGTCTCTTTACATATTGTTTATTAGTTACAAGGAAAAAATTAGTAAATATATTTCAGAGAAATCAGGCATCTTGACCAGGTGAGGGACAAAGAGTCATCACGCCCTTTGGGTAAGAAATTCTGAGGACACAATATCACTTATGTAGTATCTAGACCAAGAGTGGATAACTTGAATCTAATAATGAATAAACATGAGACAAACAAAAAAATCTAAAATAAGGAACATTCCATTATGGAGTGGGGAGGTCTGTTCTGGTGGTACATGCCTGTAATCCCAGCAGCTTGGGAGGCTGAGACAGGAGGATTTCAAGTTCAAAGCCAGCCTCAGCAATTTAGAAAGGTCCTAAGCAACTTAGCGAGACTGTGTCTCGTGTCTCTAAATAAAAAAGGGCTGGGGATGTGGCTCAGTGGGTTCAATCTCTGGTACCAAAAAAAAGAAAAAAAAAATCAAAGACCAAACCAAAAAAGGTTACAAGACTATTCCAGATTAAAGGAACCTAAAGAGAAAGGACAATTAAATGCAATATATAACTCTAAATTGGATCTTGTGCTGGAGGGGAAAAATGCTAAGAGAGATGTTATTGGGTCAATTGACAAAAATTAGTATATGGGTTATTGATAAAGTATCATATCAATGTTAAATTTCCTGGAATTGATAACTATATGTATTATATTTATGTAAGACAATGTACTTAGGATATTCCAGTATTGAGGGGCAAGTGGGGGCATGATGCATGCAATTTACTTTCAAAAGAAAAAAATGTATGTGTATGTGCACGTGTTTTATACCTTTATTCTACCTACCTACAGATGTAATCTAAGAACACAAATAATAAAGAAAGGGGAGAGATGATATCAGTGAATTTGGGTAAAGGGTGCATAGGTGCTTTTATAAAATTATTCTTTCAACTTTTCTGTATGTTTGAAATTATATCTGGGATCTGGACTTAAAAAAAATCATCAAGACTTCCTTCCTTTTGGCTCAGGGGATTTTCCCAGGTTTTGCTTCCTATTCTTCACTTCAGACCTTCCCACTCATCTGGATTTCCCAGTTTTACAACTTGTTGACTTTTTCTTGAATTCTCTTTTTCTTCCTAAAACTTTGGACTTACTAGTTGGATTGTTTGCTCCTAGATTTTTAAAAATTTTTGTGGTACTGGGGACTGAACTCAGGAGCACTTACCACTGAACTACATCCCCAGTCCTTTTTATTTTTGACTGTGAGACAGCGTCTCCATAAGTTGCCCAGGCTGACCTCAAGCTTGTCATCTTCCTGCCTCAGGCTCCTGAGTAGCTGGAATTACAGGCATGCACTACCACACCTGGCATTGGCTAACCTTTTGGATTTAGCTTCTCCAAAGGTACAGCCTTCTGGTCAGCTTCTCTTATTTGTCCTTAAGCACTGCAGCTCCTGAACAAGTGACTTCTTGCTTGCAACACTGAATCCAGGCTCTAAGCCCTGGAGGGATCATATCCATCTTGTGGCATCAAAGCTTCTAATTACTAACAGCCTCATCTCCCTTTCCAGCTGCCCTGACTTTGTCTGGGAGGAAATATTTCACATTTCTGGCCCATTATCTTCATGTTCTTTGTTTGAACCCTCATCCTGTTTTCTAATTAGGCTGCATTTCTCCAGCCAGCTGCCCTTACCAGTATCAGTTCTCTCCTATTACCTGTCTGATTGAACCTCTAATTGCTCTTCATTGCCTTTCAAAGACCAACACAGGAGATGGTGGTGTAGCTCTGGTAGAGCACATGCCTAACATTGCACAGGTCCTGAGTTCAATCTCCAGCCACCTCAAAAAGGGAGAAAACAAAAATGGACTCAATCTACCTTATTAATTTCACACCCTTCTCCATAGAACCATAAGCTTCTCCAGGGCATAGAACTTGCCTTTTCTTCTTTGCACCTTTAATTTCTAATGCAGTGTCTGGCACACAGAAGATGCCCTATATATAGGTGTCGAATGGACAAATGACTCTAAATTGTTAAGTTTTTTTTTAACCATATCATATTCAAATATTACCTTCTCTGATGATGTTCTCTGACTCTCACTCATTTTTTTTCCTCACTAGATTGTAAGCTCCCTGAGGGAAAAGACCATTCATCTTACATTTGGCTCCAGTGTCTAGGGAAGTGTCTGGCTCTATAGAGCAGGCATACAAGCAGTTTGCTGGATGAATGAATGAATGACATTAGAAAGAAGAAAGTACTAGATTTTAAGATACTCCTTACCTGCTGGGTCCCAGTGGCACACACCTGCATGAGACAGGAGAATTGCAAATTTTAGGCCAGTCTGGGCAACTTAGCAAGACCCTATCTTAATAAAAAAATAGAGGCTGGGGATGCACTTTAGTGGTAGAATGCCTCTGTGTTCAATCCCCAGTACCATAAACACATAAATAAATAAATAAGAAAACGAACTGCCTGCATAATAAGACAGATTGAGAACAGTTGAAAACAGAGATCAACAAGTAAATAAGGTACAAATAAATAAATGATCTAAGTTGTCAGGCAATGCAGAATGAAGATAACATGGGAGTCATTCGGGAAAGGATCCCCTGAGGGTAAATTTTGAGGTATGTTTGAAAAGAGGAAAGAGATATAACTTGGGAGAGTAGGAGATGAGAGCTGTTGAACCAAGGCAAGGTAAATAGCGTGCCTGAAGCTTGCTTTTGGAGCAGGACCTGTTCATCCCCAGCCTCAGGTTTCTGCCTTTTTCCTGGTTTACCAGGCAGGCACCCTCCCTCACTCTTCATGTCTTAATGTTTCCAGGGTCAGCCCGATGTGGGGACTTTATGTTCTCTAAACAGTAAGAAGGAAGTTTCTGTGAAAATAAGCAAACAAAACTGCCCTGTGGGATTGAACACTTTTGCTAACCCTGGTCCTCTAGGGAAATAAACTTCCCTGTTCCCAATAAAATGGAACTGCTCCCAGTGTCGTTTAGCCAGGGAGAAACCCAAATTACTTCCCTTAAAAGGGACCCTAGAACATTTTACAAAAATTTTGTCTTTTTTTGAGGAGATAGGGATTCAAGGAAATCTAGGATGTATAATGAGTGAGATAGAAATAGAAATGGATAGCAGAATCCTGTTTCAGCCACATCTGTTTCCCTCCTCAAAGAGTATATGCAAATATTCATGATTCTGGACAGTTTTTCCCGTCATTTTTATTTTTAGACAGTGTCTCACTAAATTGCAGAAGGTCTCACTAAGTTACTGAGGTTGGCCTGAAACTTAGGATCCTCCTGCCTCAGCCTCCCCAGTCGTTGGGATTGCATAAATGCACAACCCACGGGTCCAGACTCTTTCATATTCTCGCTAAAATGATCAGGCTGGCCTGGAATTTGAATTTGCAATCCTCCTGCCTAAGCGTCCTGAGTATCTGGTTACAAGCCTGTGCCACCACACCCGGCTCCTATCACTTTCTAGGGTTCAGATCATTGGTTCCTCTAGCATTTGTGGGATGCAACAAATGAATTATATTAGTTTCCCTAAAATATTCCCCAATTCACACACAGCATTTTACACAACTGGAGGTGCATCTCCAGAATCTCTTGAGGCTGGGAGACTGTCTTTCTATTAGGATAAGCTAGTTTTCAAGCAGTGCCCGCTTTCTCAAGAACGTTGTGCCCAGTGCATTGTTTCCTGAACACCCTTACTACCTTTGGTAGAGGCAAGAAAATTATGATGTTGGCATTCGCTCATTCGCGTTTTGAGAGGATGCGTTTAGAGCACAGCTATTTCATCTTACTTCTTAATGCAAATACAGATTCTAAAGGTAGCAATCAGATCCCTAAAGGGCATCCGATGTCCCTGAAGGCTTTCACATCCAGTACATGGATGTCATGCTGCTAGGGCGTCTCTACAAGGTAACGAAACACGAAAGCCTAAGTGGAGGTAATTCCTCACCCCAGGAAGGTTTCCCGGGTAGACACTGCCTCTCTGCGAGCTGCCCAATCTCTGGGGTATACTCTAAACTACGGTGATGTCACACTGGCTGGGATGACATTTTACAGTTGGATCCCCTACCGCCACGTGTAAACCACTCGGAGCCTGTGGTGCGGAGGGTGCGACCCCCGCACTCGGCCAAGCTGGCTCCCCACGGAGGTGTACCCTTTCCCGCCGCCATCAGTACTATGCGGTCGTCCTAGTCCGCGGGCTCCTTCGCACTTCCGCCTCAGTAGGTGTCATGGCGCCAGGCGGGTGGATGGTTCCGGCGAGGCGGGGCTGGCCAGATAGGGGCGGTCGCTCGGGGCTCCGCTCGTCGGGTCTGGCGACAACGGCGGCTGCGGAGTGAGGGGCCCGGCTGTGGCCCCGGACGGCAGCGGGAGGCCGAGGCGGGAGCGCGCAGGGCTGAGGCGGCGGCGGCGGCGGCGGGAAGGGGCCGGGAGGCGGAGCGGGCGGGAGGCTGGAGAGGCTCCCCCCGCGGGACGGGCGCAGGGACGGCTCCGGGGGGCGGGGGCGGGGGCCGGGGCCCGAGCCGGCTCGCTCGGGGGGTATGATGACCCGGCGGCGGGGCCCCGGATCTCGTCTCCTCCGCCGCCTCCTCACGGTAGCCCCAGCTCGCGGCTGAGAACCAGACACACCGGCGGTGAGTCAGGCCGGGCGGGAGGGGGCCTCGGTGGGGAGCGACCTCCCATCCGCACCCCGAGGCGGGCTCTGCCGGCCGCGGGCTCTGCTTGGGCGCCCGGCCTGCGGGGGGCGCCTCCCTCAGTCGCCCCCGTCTGGCATCGGGCACCGCGTCCTGCGGCCCGGCAGCTCGCCGTCACGGAACGGGATTGCGTTCGCGGGAAAGTGGGCTACTGCGGGCTTGTTGGCGGGGCAACTCCCCCTGCCTCCTGCCACTTCTCCTCTAGGCGTGTTGTTGTCCTCAAGTGACAGGGGGACGCCTTGCATCTCCTCGCCCGGCCGGTTCTTTTCCCCCTCCCCGGCTGTTGTGGCAGGTTCCCAGTGTGTGACTTGTGCGTGTATATTTCCCAGCTCTGCTTATCGCGGTGGTTAGGGGTTATTTGTGTTTTTGGGACCAGGAAGCGGTTTCTGGAGAAGACAGTGGGGGTGGGAGGGTGGGTGTGGAAGCTTTTTCTGTCCTCTCCGCTTATGTTCTGTAATCGCTACGTTTGTAATTTGTAATGATGGTGGAGACGACGTGGGAACAGCCCTCCTAATGTGTGTGTGTGCAAGGCTAGAGGTCTGGCTCAGAGAGAAACTTTTGCTGCTTGCCTGTCGCCACTTTCAAAGCTTTGTTTAAAAAAAAAAGAAAACGGAAAAAGGAGACCACTAAAACTCTTGGGTAAGGTCCACACTATTCACAGGTTTGTGGGGAAGAGTCCCTTTTTGTGCCTAGCAACCCAGACCTAAGGCTCGGTCTCCAGGAGCGTCTAACCTCCAGTTTGTTGTGGTGACGAACCTTGAGCAATGGCCTGTGTTTATGCTGGGCGCGCGTTCCTTCCTGTTTGGGGAGGGGGCTGAAAAGGGGAAGGGAGAAAAAACAATCCCAAGCTCCAATAAGTCTTTTCTCTACTTAACCGATTCAGTTCTAGATAGGCGAATTTTAAGGTAGTCCTGGATGTTTTTTCTTGTCGGTTAATGACACTGAGAATTCTCAGGAATTGCATCAAAATATTAGTTTTACCTACAGATTCTTCCGCCTCAATCTGTTCTTTATCTTATTTGTTTCTTAGTAACTCTGATGGAAACAGCAGTGTGGCTTCCTGCTTTAGATGAAGTGGGGCTAAATTAAGTGGCTGATGCCCTCACCAAAACCTACAATTTTGCTCTTGTTTGTGTAAAGCTATTTTTGATTCCTGGCCTGTAAGACTTTGTGTGTGTGTGTGTGTGTGTGTGTGTAAGATTATAGAGAATGCAAACCATTACCAGCTTTTTTTCATATAGAAGCCTAAAGCTTTCTGTAAAACATTAAAACATCTACTAACAAATCATTTCACCTAATCATTGTTACTCAGCTGGTAATTTTGGATCTTTGCATGCAGTATATCTCAGGGTTTTATGTTATACTACTGGGCAAGATGAACGTAGTCACTGACTTTAAGATAGTGTTCTTGGCTTGAAGGATATTTTGGTAAAGTACTTGTGGTTGAAACTGGAGGCAGCCAAGCCCATAAACGATCTGAGGAGTGAAATGGTGAATGAGATCTTATAAATATACTGGCTCTGGTTGACAAGTAGGTCTTTTGCTGGTTTCATCTTCAGGGACAGTCTGTCCATCTCTGCACATTGTAGTTTTATGGATTTTAGAGTATGTTGATTAGTAACAACGTTTAAACCAAACCAGAACTTTCTTAAAAAAAAAAAAAGAAGAGAAATGTCAAAGTTCACAATTGTCTGGAAAATAGAATTCTTTCATTCTGTGTTTTTGTTTTTATAAGCACAGCTCCATCAGTGGTTTATTGGTAGAAATCAGTGAGCCAAAACCTGCTTTGTGAACTTCTTACACTTAGAACTTGTGCAGCTTGTTAGTTATGTATTATAATTTGAAGTAATTTTGTAAACATAAGCTGCTTGATTTGCCATCTGCCCTTTGTTTTCATTTTCATTTTAATGACAGCAGTCTATTTTTTTTAATCTTTCTATTAATTCCTCTTCAATTTCTTCCCTTATATTTCATTCCCTTCCAACACCAGTTATCAAGATTGTTTTGCTTCAACTACCACTTAAGCTATCACTGATTTGCCTTGTGGTTCCATCTGTTTGTTTATTTTAAGGAAGACAGGGTCTTGCTGTGTTGACCAGGCTGACCTCAAACTTCTGGCTACAAGTGATCTTTCTGCCTGAGCCTCCCAAATAACTGGGACTGCAGGCTTGTGCCACTATGCCTGGCTTGGTTTCTTTTTGGTGTTGTCCCTAATCTTCCTTTAGTTGTTGAAATCCAGTTCCTAGATGCCTAATATATTTGTATAGTACGTAATTTGGCACTTAAAAGATTAACATTCTTTATGTATTTTCTTTCTTTCTTTCCTTTCTTCAGTGTGTCTTATCAACTCAGCAACATTCCAAGGTTATTGAAGGTAGAGAAACTTGGTTGTATTTCTTTTGGATTCTTTAAGGGCACCTGGTACTGTGCTTTCCCAGCATGCTTAATGAAAAAGAATCAGAAGACCTGAATTCTTTGCCAGCATTGCTCCTCATTAGCTTTGTGTAAAACTTTTTTGGCTTTTTTGAGTCTCCTTTTTTCCATCTTGGAATTAGAGGATTTTAGAACAGATCTTTTAAGGTCCCTTTTAGCTATAAAAATCCTGTACTTTTTTTTTTTTTTTGCCAGTGTGTTCTAATCAAGCACATCTTACTCTATACAATCTTTCATTTTTCTTTTTTAATTTTTAAACTTTTTTGGTACTGAAATTGAACCTAGTGGTGCTTTACCACTGAGCCACATTCCCAGTGGGGCCATCTCTTCACCTTTTTAAAAAATTTTGAGACAGGGTCTTGCTAAGTTCCTTGGGTCCTCACTGAGTTGCTGAGGCTGGAATTGAAATTGTGATCCTCCTGTCTCAATCTTCTAAGTCATTGGAATTATAGGCACGCATGGTGGTGCTTGGCTCTTTATTTTTGAGGCAGGGTCTCTCTAGGTTGCTGAGGCTGTTCTTGAACCTTGTGATCCTCCTGCCTCAGCTTCTCATGTTGCTGGTATTACATGTGTGAGCCACCATGTCTGACATTTTTTTTACATCCCTTGGTATACTGGCAAAAGTCATCTCATCCCCGCCCCATACTGGGAATTGAACCTAGGGATACTGTACCTCTGAGTTATAACCCCACCCTTTTCATTTTTTATTTTGAGACAGGGTCTCCCTAATTTGCGCAGGATGTCCTAGAACTTGCAATCCTTGTGCCTTAGCCTCCTGGGTAGCTGGGATTACAGGCAGTTGCCACAGGGCTTGGCCTCATTCTTCTACCTCCCATCTGCCAAACATGGTAACTGTTTTCCTTCCACCTTTGCTGGCTGATCCAAACAGGGTCTTTTCTTAAGCATTATGTGTGTTTCATATTGATCTCTGCTTTGTTGATTTGGCCTTTTTCTTATGTTGGAAACTCCTCATGTTTTTTTATTCTAAACTGTATAGATTTTGTAGACTATCTTTTACACATACTAAAATATTACCTTATTATTAACACAAAGCACCTATTTTTCTTTTGTTTTGTTGCTATAGATTTGTCATTACCAATGAATATAAGTGAACTATTGAAATTTAGGGGAAAAAATCCTGCCTAGAAAGCAGTTTACCTAAACATTAAAAATTGATTTAGATGGCTGAAGTTACATAGAATTGTATACTCTGCTGGCAACTACCACCACCTTTGTCCACACCCTATTTTTTGCAATACCGGTTGGGGAAGTGACTTGTCATACAGTTCCACATGAAGGAAGGAAGTACTAGAGGAAAAGGAGTGGGAGACTTTGATTCAAATAGTGTTCATAGGATTTCCAGATTACTTTTTTCTTTAGTATTATTGTATTTAGAACACTAATGTATATATTATCTTGCAGATAAGACTAATTTCTATCTTATATATTTCTCTTTTCTCTTTTTTTGTACTGGCAATTGAATCCAGGGCACGTTACCACTGAGCCACATCCCCAGCCCTTAATTTTATTTTTTAATTTTTTTATTTTTGAGCAGGGTCTTGCTCTCTTGCTTAGGACTTCACTAAATGATGAGGCCGGCCCCCAGATTTATCATGTGTTTCTTTAATTTAGTTGGAATGACTTCTGAGCTCTTTTTACATTATATATGTGGGGAAGTAATGTGATCTGTTTTACAGTCATTTATTCTAGCCAATATTTGGCATATGCTATATGACAGCCACTGTGATAGATGCTGGTGATAATTTAAAAAAGAAAGAAAGAAAAGGGGAAACGACTATGACACACCACTGCTGTACTATTGAGGACTGTCCTTCTAGAACTTCCAGTTTAGATGGGAAGTCAGGTTTTGAATAAATAATTACAAATGGTCATACTTAAATATAGATTGGCCTATGAGTTATCATGTGGTCTGGTCCCTGCCTGCCTTGTTGGGTCCTGTTTCTACTATTTCCTCCATTGTTCTGTTCCCTTTACAATTACCTCTTCTTCAAAAGGGCCAAGGATGTGTCTATCTTTGCATTACATTTTTTCTTTCTCCTTGTCAGTGAAGTCTCAGCTTAAGTGCTTCCACCACAACAAGGCCTTTCTTGACCACTATCTCCATCACATCATTGTTTTTGTTTTCCTCATAGCACTTATCGGTAGTTGTTGTTTTCTTGGAGAGAGAGAGAGAGAGAGAGAGAGTGAGTGAGTATGTGTGTGTGTGTGTCTGTCTGTCTCCCCAGTAGAATGTAAACTCTAAAAGATAAGGTGTGTGTGTGTCTGTCTGTCTGTCTGTCTCCCCAGTAGAATGTAAACTCTAAAAGATAAGGGATCTTGTCTATCTTGAATACCACTGTTATCTCCTGTCTCTAGAACAGTCCCTGACAGACAGTAGGTCCTCAATAAGTTTTAAGGAATAAATGAAATAGTTAAGTATAAGTGTAAATGAAATAGTTAAGTGTAAGCTTTGGGATTTTATCCTAAAGTTTTATATGGGGGACAGA